GTGCAGAAGGAAGGTTGGCAGGCCGGGGGGTTATCGGAAAATTTCTGTAGTGTGGCATTAATCGCAGACCAGAAGGGTCTGATTTTAGGGCAGTCCCACCAGACGTGTAAAAAAGTGCCCAAGGCGGCATGGCAGCGCCAGCAATCTCCGTCCAGAGCGGGGTTCATGCTGTGTCAGGAGCTTGTATGCCGTTTCCTGTGTCTTACTAGCAAGCGCACAATGATGTACCAAGTTGCAGATCTTACTCCACTGGTCTGTGGTAAAGGTTACACCTAAGGCGGCTTCCCATCTCCCCATGTACCTAGGGGTTGGGAGGTTCAATTGCACGTGTAGGAGAGAATACAAAAGGGAAATGGCGCGCGTCTGTGGGTCGTGATCGGTACACTGTCGCTCAAAGGAAGTGAGTGTCCTGGATATATCAGGTCGTTGGGGGATCTGTTTGAGGAACCTGCTCATCTGCTTGTATTTGAGTGTGTGTAAAAAGGCCCCCCTGGTGTCCCCCATTAAGTCTTGTAGTGTCTTGAGCTCAGGCCCTTTGAACATGTGGCGAGCTTGGACCTGGCCATGTGGAAAGAAGCATGCATAAGGTCTGCCCTCCAGTCCAGGTTGAAAGTTGGGGTTGTTGGTGAGGGGGTATGATGAAAGTCCCAGTCTGGATGCGATCCTGTGCCATATCTTCAAAGTGGCAGAAACGCATGGCTGCTGTCCCTATTTCATTCTGCTAGCCCTGGGGTTCATCCATATTAGTGCCACCAATGATCCGCCCGTTTGGGCCTGCTCTACATCTTTGCTTAATTTACTCACCCCATCCTTGGCCCATTCCATTATCCTCTGCAGGTGGGTCGCGTGGTACTACAAGAGAAAATCCGGAACCGCTAACCCTCCCTCCGTCTTCGGTTTAGTCAAGGTTTGGTATCGCAGGCGGGGTTTATGAGAGCCCCATATGTAAGTTATCAGTAAGGATCGGAGCGATGTGAAATATGTAGAAGGTATCCGAATGGGGAGAGTCTGAAACAGGTAAAGGACTCGCAGCAGGATATTCATTTTCACCACCGCGATACGTCCCAACCAGGAGATATGTGGCAACGTCCATTCCACCAGGTTCTTCCGGATCATAGTCATTAAGGGTGGGAAGTTCGCTGCATATAGGTGGGAGAGGTCCCTCGGGACCCAGGTACTTCACCGCCCTCTCCGACAATTGGAATTGGAAGGAGTTGCGGACTCCAGTCCCCAGATCTTGATCATATTGTGAATCTGTGTAACTTATTAAAAACTGCAGTTCACAAGCACAAGTTAATCAACTTGAACCATACAGAGAAAATCTGAAAAGAAAGATGGGTAAAGAAGACTCTCAGCCAATGTGCAAAGCATGTGGATATTTAATCCAAAATACTTAGGTACAATATAGTCAACAGGCATATTGCCCCTTTAGGTATTAGGTCCCTGCAGGCATTTTCATGTAATCATTGCCTTTTTAGAGATTGGTCAGGGTGGCGTTTTTTCTCCACCCCTGCCCCGAATCCTTGGCTGAGATCATCAAAATTGACAATCTCAGCCAATCCAATGCTTTCCTATGGGAAATTCTATGGGATACTCAGCTAAAATTGGTTTTTAACACTACAGGGTCAGGAATACACATTTGTGTTCCTGACCCATTAGTGTTCTTTAAAGACAGTTTAAGCTGCTATTACAGCAAAAGGTAGCTTGACTAAGCATTAATATAATGGCTTTAAATACTTATTTAACCCCTTAAGGACACATGACATGTGTTACATGTCATGATTCCCTTTTATTCCACAAGTTTGGCCTTTATTCCAGAAGTTTGGCAGCATATATAATATTTTTTTAAAATGTATACCTAATTCTGGCTATACAATGTACTCATGTCTTCAGGTGGTAAACATAGTTATATATATATAAAATTTTACAAATCAGAAAAGACGTATGTATGTCCACATTTAGAAGTTTGCATGTCACCATCATGTGTCCATAGTGTGCAGGCTGATATCATTATTCCTCCGGCTCCCTCTGACTCGTGTGTAACTTTGTGCCCCTGACTGGGAAAGACAAACTGGCTGATTGCGTTTTAATTTGGAAAGTATTATGTGCCCCTAATTGTGCAAAACATACCCAGTGGCTTCTAAATGCAGAATATATTGGATTGTCTCCCTAAGGTTACTGTTGTGTGATCCATGGATTACTATATGTAAAGAAAATGGCAAAGTCTTCATAATATGCTTGTTATGCTCTAATATATATTTATATTTTCCTCTGTGTAACAACTTTGATCTAATCTAGCGTTAAGCAGACATGTGTATTCCTATCCTTCTGCACCATGAGAGTTGAGGGATCTACATACTACATAGAAGTTAGGGTATCTTGTGGTATTAAGTAATGATTAAGTAATAGTGTTATAAAAAAGGTGGAATTCCCTGCTGTAATTTGGATCTCATCTCTGTGACTATGATTGGGGACCTAAGGTCTGAAACTCAATATAAACTTTTTTGGGGCTCTTCCTTAATAACCCAAATAACAGGAGCAGCTGCTTCAATACCCACAGTATGGACATGCCAGAGGCAGTAGTCACAACTTCCTAAATTGAAATCCAGGTGGACATTTGGTTATTCATTGCTCTGATGCTATTGATGTATTTGGAAATATATAGACAGACCACCACCCAAAAATAAATCAATAGAGAATGAGATGAAAAAGCAGGAGTGTGAATAGTGAAATATTTCCTTTTTGGACTATGTAAATTAATGGTTCCACATGGTGTGGCCTGCAGGTTTTTAAATTCATTATTACAGTGTATTAGATGTCTCCTCTGCGAGAGATAGGCACATTGACAATTACAGGGTTCTTAACCGATCTCTTACACTACTTGGACATTTCTTTTCATTGATGTTTATTATCCGAAGGTGTAGTGGATATTTTAGCGATTTAGTAAAGATGCATGGAATCTGCTGGCATAGAGTGTTGCTATGTATATATTAATATATGGCAGAAGCTTAGTTTATTTCAATTCTTTGAAAATTAGTACATTGAAGAATTCAATAGCAAGTCAAAAAGTGTTCTACACCTCACTGGAGAGTGTTCAGGACAGTCGCATATTATTCTGCTAATTCTGAGTCAAATCATGATGACAGAGAAACTAAAAATAAATCTCTATTAGAAACTTGCTGAAAGATATATCTGAACCATACATACACAATGAATACAAAAAATACAAAGTACAAATAAAAAAGATATATATCAAAGGACAACAAGGTAAGAAAATCCAGCCATACATTGACTTCCTAATAAGAGGACTTACATCCTCTATAGCAGTGATGGCGAACCTTTTTGAGCCCGAGTGCCCAAACCGTAATACATGCCAGATTTTTTTTCCCTCAAAGTGCCAAAACGCCAATTAAACCTGAATACTGAGGTTTAAGTTTAGAAAAAACAACTCATACAGTTGTCCGAACTAATTAACATCTCTGTGTGTGTATTAAGCAGTTTGTGTGTGTGCTCGGCAGTCTGTCTGTATGTGTATTTAGCAGTCTGTCTGTGTACTTAGCAGTCTGTCTGTATTTAGCAGACTGCTGAATACAAACACAGACTGCTGAGTACACAGTCTGCTGAATACACACACAGACTGCTAAATACACACACACAGACTGCCGAGTACACACACACACAGACTGCTAAATACACACACACATACACACATAGACTGCTAAATACACACACACAGACTGCTGAGTACACACACAGACTGCTGAGTACACACACACACATATACTGCTGAGTACACACACAGACAGACTGCTGAGTACACACACAGACAGACTGCTGAGTGTACACACACAGACAGACTGCTGAGTGTACACACACAGACAGACTGCTGAGTGTACACACACAGACAGACTGCTGAGTGTACACACACTGCATTGAGGGGTACAGTGTATGTGTTTGTGTGTAGGGTGATGTGTGTGTGTGGGGTGGTGTGATGTGTGTGGTGTGATGTGGGGTGGTGTGGGGTGATGTGTGTGTGTCTTTGTGTGGGGTGATATGTGTAGGACAGGGGTGCTGTGTGTATGTTGTCCCCCCTGCCCCCCCCACTGTTTTCTTTCCCATCCCTCCCTCAGTTTTCCCCCATCTCCCTCAGTTCCCCATCCCTCCCTCAGTTTCCCTCATCTCTCCCTCAGTTTCCCCCATACCTCCTCAGTTTTCTCTCCCCCATACCTCCCTCAGTTTTCTCTCCCCCCATACCTCCCTCAGTTTTCCTCCCCCCATACCTCCCTCAGTTTTCTCTCCCCCCATACCTCCCTCAGTTTTCTCTCCCCATGCCCCTTCCTCAGTTTCTCCCCCATACCTAGTTTTTCTCCCCATACCTCCCTCAGTTTTCTCCCCCACCCTCCTCAGTTTCTCTCCCCATACCTCCCTCAGTTTCCCTACATCAGTTTCCCCCCTCCATTTCCTCCTTGTTTTAATTCCCCACTTGTCCTTGCTCTCCTACCTTGTAGCGTGGAGGAGTGCACCGCGGAGCTCAGTTTCCTGTACCCAGCCGGACAGGAAGTGCTCTCTCTGCGAGCACTTCATTTCCGTCCGCCCGGGTACAGGAAACATAAGTTCCTGTACCGTGGTGCTTAGACAGAGTGCCTGGCAGGAGGGAGCGCTATGCGCTCACCTCCTGCCGGTCACTCCGGTTTTGCGCCCGCCGGGCACCCTAAGGCGCCATTTGTGCCGCCTTATGGATGCGCCGGCGGAGCGCACCCTCCCTCCATCCGGCGACCTATGGCCGCGTGCCGAGAGAGGGGGCTCTGCGTGCCACCTATGGCACACGTGCCATAGGTTCGCCATCACTGTTCTATAGCTTGATATATCAAAAGCATAGGAAGAAAAAAAACAAAAAAACAATTAGTACATTACATACCAAACTAAACTAGAAAGAAAATGGTATAGGAAAAGAAACCGTGGACACCAAAAGGAAAAACAACAACAGCAATGTATCAACTGTGAGCCTTTCTCATGGGAGGACAGACAACAAAGGAACAATTTAGCCTTCTATAAATTGTTAATGATAGCAATTGATTGCAGCAGGGTAACGGTGGTCACCCACTAATTAGCAAAGATGTCCTCATCAGCGGGTCACATGACTGCAAATGGGAACTTCTCAAAATACATAAGGAAAAGACTGAGGAAAAGAAAGGAAAAACAAATACACAATTAAGACCAGAAAAAAATGTGCAATAAATATAACCAATAAAAATGTGATCCCTGTGATAAGAGAATCCAGATATAGAGCCACTCAGCCAAGACCCAGAACACCTGTGCGCTCCAGTATATAGGATACTGTCCTAAAAGTGATGCCATACTAAGACTTGGAACGCACATGCATTCCAACAAAATAGCACCTAGTCCACGTCCCCTAAGAATGAAGAATGAAGGGTAAGAAAAATGTGGCATCAAAGAGCCATAAAAGTAAAAGTACCTGCATGATACAGGCTATATATCTGTGACAGTATCATCCATATGTACTAAGATATATATAACAAAATCAGCACTCAGCCGAGGCATGGAATGCATGTGCGTTTCAATGGAAACACGTCCCATGAATGGCACCAAAAGGATGCCTGAAATGCATATGCATTCCAAACACGGGGATAAAAGAGGCTGGAGGCCAAAACCTATTAGGTCCCAGTAAAAAATCCATACTATAAATGCTGTAAAATAATCCAAAAGCTGTACATATCCAGAAGCACCGTGACATTGTGGCATCAAAGTCAGACCACATTTACCCTTACAGCTGCTGTGCCCCAGATCTGCCTGCCCCTCATTGGCCTTGTTAGCCACCAGCGTGTCTACAGCAGAAATGAGCAACCCGCTTCCTAAATCTTTGCTTACGAAGTCAAGCCAAGGATTGAAGGTGGAATCATGTGCATGTATGTATCAACCAACCCTGTACATGACAGATAATAATGAAAAAATAATTATAATATTAAAAAATATGCTGAACATTTATTGATAAATAGTCTAAGGAACCAAAGGCAAATGCTGCATTGCATCAAGACCAATTTATAGCTACATCAAAGGTACAAAAATAACAAAGAAGAAGCAAGATAGGATCTACATCAAAATAAGAAGAAAGTAATAAATATAAAAATCTACAAAAGAGAATAATAAATGAACATCAAAAAATAAATTTTAATCATTAATGATTGATCACAATGAATTATGACAAATGCCACATGTTGTCATAAAACAAAATTAATATCATGAAGGAAAAAATAACACGATAACAAAGACCACCCAACATAGTTTTCAAGTTGACCCAAGAGAAAACGTGTATATACAGTTGCAAGAAAAAGTATGTGAACCCTTTGGAATGATATGGATTTCTGCACAAGAATTACTCCTGACCATTGTGCACGTCTGATCTGCAACTACAGGAAACGTTTGGTTGAAGTTATTGCTGCCAAAGGAGGTTCAACCAGTTATTAAATCCAAGGGTTCACAAACTTTTTCCACCTGCACTGTGAATGTTTACCTGGTGTGTTCAATAAAAACATGACAACATTTCATTCTTTGTGTGTTATTAGTTTAAGCAGACTGTGATTGTCTATTGTTGTGACTTAGATGATGATCAGATCACATTTTATGACCAATTTCTGAAGAAATCCATATCATTCCAAAGGGTTCACATACTTTTTCTTGCAACTGTATACATAAAAGAAAAACAAGAATACATTTAATAACTCAAAAAAAGTTATGGTGGGGAAAAATTGTGATTGAAACCCCCTTCCACCTGAAGTCAGTGGATAGTCAATATGATGTTAAAGAAATATCTGCATACCAGTCAAGCCATAAGCATGCTTTTCCTACAGAAATCACAAATATGCAGTGATGTTACTACCGCAAAGGATTCTAGGTGGGAATATGCAAATTAGTTTAACAAAAAAATCAAATTTTTGCCTCATTCAAGTACTGTCAAGCCTCACTAGCAAGCCAGTAACCAACCTCATGCTGATGATTTGCATTACCATGAAACAGCTGTCCATGAGTGGTTCACTGGCTTTGCATCTTTTCCTAAGTTGTGTTTCCTGAGTTTCAGCAAACACAGACTCAAAGGAATCCATGTTTAAAATGGAATGAGGCAAAAAAGTGATTCTTTGTTTAACTAATTTGAAAATTCCCAACCAGAATCCTTTGCGGTAGTAACATCACTATTTAATAACGCAAAAAGACATATAAGAGGGACTTGAAGATGTATGCATACTACACAAACAGATAAGAAAGCAACAATGTATATGCTTAAGAACACATAAAAAATACACTGAAACATCATAAATGGTAAGAAAAGAACTTCTGTAAAGATAAACGAAATGTTGTAACACGTCTCTGACAGCAGATTCTTTATGCAAAGAGCACAGAATTCCATATTGCAGATACTACTAGCATCCAATCTTCCTACTTAGGTAGGTCCTTGGTTTGTTGGTCTTGTCTCGGAGTACGGTTATAATCTGTAAAAGACAGAAAGCAGTTAGAAATAGGCTGAAGAAAACCACAAGATAACCTTAACATCTAGAAAGAAAAACAAACTACCACAAGCAGGCAAAACCCTTACACTAGGGAAGGGTGGGATGAGTGCTATTGGATATTAGATAATAGATTCCTGCAAACTCTGATTTGTCAGGCATAAACACCTAGCAAGCTAGTTTGTAGAATAGCACACACCTGATCCTAAGAAACCTCTATTCCAACCTCTAATTGTATTGGATGAAAGCAATTCCTTGATGTAATAAATAAGTGTATTATATAATTTCTAACAGCAGCAGAAAGATCAAGGTAAGATTGTAAGAGACTGACTAAACATTAGCCTGGTTCAGAGGAATCTTGAACCAAATCCAATTCCACCGGACCTGGGGAAATATGGAAAGTTTTTTGTCTCCCTTTTAGTATAATATGGAACCCTCCTGGGGTCCATAATAACCACGGTTCTAAATAGAAATTTGAGTTAACTCAGCTCCTCTAGCTGCCAAGGCCAAAACAGCAGAAAAGCCAACTTAATAGCAGTCCAGCTTAAATCAATCTTAGCATAATGCAAGGAATTAAGGGCATTTAATAAAAGATCTACATCCCAAGTAGATGTATAACGTGAAGTTAATGGGCGGCAGACTGATAATCCTTCTAGTAATCTCAAATACAGGGCATTTTGAGTAAGGTTAGGGATAAGAAAATGTAAGACCCATAGGCCTTAATGGCTACTGACCACTAAACCAGAATGGAACTTAAGGGTAAGAAATTCTAAAGCCAATGGAATGGTGTCAGACCCATAAAAAGAAGATAGAAAAGAAATCTTTGAATTCCTCAATCATCTTTCAATACCTTACCCTAGTTATGCTTCTAAAATATGAATTAATGATGTCCAAGCCCTGATCTGATAAAAGGGGATGTGTTTACAGCCTACTAAGGCTGCAATCCACATCAGCTGCGGAAGCTAGAGCAAAAGATTGCTGGTTCCGTGAAAGCAGTCCACAGTCAAGCCCAATGGAATCTTGGTTCCCTTGACTTACTGATGGATTAAGGTGTACGAGGATCTGGAGGTTGATACTGGGTAAATGAGAACTAAACTCTGTACCTTGTCCCTGTGGATCTTCTCCAGTACTCTTATCAGTAAAGATGGAGGGGGAAAAGCATAAGGGGCTGGAACATCTGTCCATTGAAAAGATATTGCATCCATTTTCCAAGCTCCCTTTGTCTAAATCCTGGAGACAAACCTGGGAGTATGTGCAGAAGTTTGGGATGCAAACATATCTACTTGTCTGTGGCTGAAATCTATTCATTGGAATAGAGCAATCTTTAAATGAACCATTGCCAGAGACAAACAATGGAGAGAGAGAGAATCTGGGAGCTTGTTCGCCTCTCATGCAACGTATTCTGCAATAACCCAAAGTTTGTTTGCTAAAGCCCAAGACCAAAGATCTAGAGCATCCAAACAAAGAACCCTTGATCTTGTGCCCCCTCTTGGCTAATATAAGCCACCACTGTCCTGTTGTCCAATTGGATTTTTACCAACACCTGGTCCTTGAGAGAAAATTGTATTGTTCTTACTCCAAGATGTTTATATGAAGGAGTCTCTCTTGGTCTGACCAAATTCATCTTACCGCTTTTTGTGCTGTAAATGCACCCTGACCATGATTTGAGGCATCTGACGTCAGAGTAACAGCAAATGGCTGTTTTAACAAGGGACAAAGAAGAGGGATTCCTAACCTCAGAATATACTTTAACTCTTCTCTGACCTTCTTGGGGAGAAATAATTGTGATTCAAAATGGCCACCCTGTTTTAATCAATCCCCTAAAAACAGAAGACTTCTACTGCAAAAACTAACCCTGGTGAGATGAGGCCAGATGTATCAATAATTTGTCCCATTTGTCCTGACTCCTTGTGACATAGTCCCGGTGTTCAGTACAAAACCCAGATAAAGAATGCTTTAAGTGGGAATTAGGACTAATTTCTGTAAATCCACTACAAATCCTAGTTTTTGTAAAAAGGAAGTAAGATAGTCCCCCGGAGAAGCAAGAACTTCCCCATCTGGATACATTAGCAGGATGTCGTCTAGAAAGTACAGACACATGCAACCTCTCAGTCTGACATGGGCTTTAACTGATTTAATTATTCTGGAGAATGTGTATGGTGCATTGGAGAGGCCAAACACCATAACAGTCCGCTGCCAAACCTTTCCTTTCCACAGAAGCCTGTGTTTCTTGGCTATAGGGAATGAATGGAAGGCATCTTTTAGATCTAACTTCATGCAAACAAAATGTTCTGTTCTAAGCCTGGAAGATTTGATAAACACTCCATCCTGAACAGTCTCTTGATAAAAGCGTTCAGAGACCTCATATTTAGAACCAGTCTCAAGGAACCATTTGATTTTAGGATGGGGAACAACAGACTCACCGATCCTGTGATGAACATGTATGCCAACTCTATCTTCCCTTGATTTAATGCTAGAGAAAAGGAGGCATCTAGCAATTGGTTGACCTCTCTGCTGGTTGCAAACCTCTGAACTGGGAACCTTAAAAGGGGGAATTGTAAACCCCTTTGAAAAATCTTTACAACCCATTTGTCTGAAGAAATATCCTTCCAAATTAGTGGTGTGTGAGGAGGCACACGTACTTGAATGCATAGGTTTTCTATATGGTTGGATGAATATCCTTTGAAGGTTTTTGATCTTTTATAAGCCATGATGGGTTTGTCTTTGTACAAATCTCTAATTAGTGTTTTATATGAAGAATTTAAAAAATTGTCTTTCAAATCTGAAATAACTGATGCAGAATGAGTCTTATGAGTTCCACAGTATATGCATGAGTTTGCCCCTTGTAAATGGGGGATTAGACTAGGATGTGAATAAGTCTACATGTATGAGTGATTGCAGTGTGCAGACTACTGATGTGTATCTAGAACACTGCAATATGAGAGTTTGGAATGTGTAGATTTAAAATGTGCTATATGACATGTCATATATTCTTTATGATTATCGATGTATTCACTTATTACTTAGCTTTATAGCATCTATCTCATAATTCTAACCCCAACAGGCTAGATTTGTTCTATTCTTGCTATGTTATGTCAACATAGTTGATTCACCTCCAACCACCTCATTTTAAGTTTCCAGACCCGTTTCTGGGCCTTTTTTCAGATTAGAAAAAGGAAACAGAGAAATGCCTTACCTATTGAGTAACATAATATAAATTCACATACCTAATTAGTTACAGTGGCCCTGTCACCTGAAACATACCTTTCCTTAATTTCCCGCTTCTCTCCCTGGTGTTAAATCTGTTCTTTTCTTTGTTTCTTATATTTAATTCTTAAAATATATGAGAAATTTGGGACAAAAAACATGTGTTGTCCTTTAAGGTGAATTTCAAAAAATAAAAACAAGGGGAAAAAGAGGAACAAAAAGGATTAATTTAAAAATAAAACCTGCAAAGTCACAGAGCTGTTTTAAAATCCTAACACAAAAGAGTCAAGCAAAATAGACAAACATACAACCTTCACTTATAATACCTCAAAACACTTACAAGATTTACTAAATGGGTGACCAATTATTACCTTAATTCTTATTATTTCTCATACACTCTCTGTACATAATTTTACCTCCTACAAACTCTCATGTGATGGCAGTTACTCTAAGCAGGCTGTCTAATCTTTATACAGAGCTATAGTATTGATGATACTTTTGCTCCTATATATACTTGATCTCTATGGCCAATACTGATATTTGAGAACAAGATACCGCCATGTAATTTGCAACAATACTCCAACAACATTCTGGCCTCGTGTGTTTCTTACTTCTGCTGCATATATTGCAGGACGAGGCTCTCTGAATACAGTGGACATTTTACTGGACATACATAGGCAACATTTTCGCTCTCATTTTTTGCATAACATTCTCTTGTTGGACACAAAAATGTATTATTCTCAATCCCAAACAAGAGGGAGGGGGGGAGGGAATGCAAGTTTCTTATTCGTTTATCACCAGCATCTGTTAAAGCCTGACTTATTAATTTACTTCCGTCACTGTACCCTAATTATATAAATATTCATTAAAAAAAAATCCCAATACGTGTGTTTATTTTCCCACTATACAAACAAATGATTCTTATTTTCTATTCATTTTCTGTATATGTGTGAATATGTATATATATACATAAGTAAACACGCCAAATCACTCCAATATTATATGTGAAAACACTTCTGTTATACAAAACATGAAACAGAAAGATATTAAAGACAATTTCTTCTGACAGCAATATCACAATCCATTCTTTCAGTAAACCTGGTGCCGTTAATATAGATGCAGTTTTGTGTTTAGAGCAACAAGAGTAAAAGGTTGAGAATGGCCTCATTTGTTCCAACAGCACAAAAAGCAAAGCTTAGAATGGCCAGCCCTGCTGTTTCTCTGTACAGTCTAATACTTTAACTTACTGTGACAGCACACTGCTGCCCATTATGGGTACAAATGATAACTGTTGCTCGTCACTAGAGGTGCCTATGAGAAATGTAACAATGAAGGGGATGGCTTGAAAATGAGTACTTTTCACTGCACAAAGGAAGAGCCTGACAGGTTTGATTTCCCCTTTATCATTATTTTGCTGCCCTTTAAACTCCACTATTATTTGCTGTTTTGCTATTTTCTATGTGGACCCTTCATAGTATGATTTATCCGTTCCCCCCACCCTCTCTGAAAACAGACCTGATGCAGTATACTGTATAATGTTTGTCTGGCTTTCAAAACGCCATCGCATTGACAGTGAGAGATTATCTGGAGACCTCCTCTTGTATTTACAATTAATCTAGGTGTTTGCTCCCAAAAGACTCATTTTGGTCAGTATCCGCTGTGGGAATTGGTTGCCTATTTAACTAAGCGACTCGTAAAAAAACAAAACAAAAAAAACCTGATGATATAAAATGATATTCCCAATACAGCAGAGATTTCAAGTTTTTTTTATTTTTTTATTAGTGGCGCTGTTGTGATTCTGGGGCAACAAATAAGGTCTAAATTGGAAATGTAATAAAAAAAAAATTGAAGTTGAAGTGCCTTTAAAATATATACAGTGTGCCTGCTAGCAAGCCTTGTGATGTACGTGATCTTTTAAATAAGAGCAAAGTTTCTAAAACAGGATGGCTCGGAGCAGGCATCGTGAAGATATTATAAGAAATTTATGAGATATTGCTGCTTGTTAAGTGAGAAATAATCTGAATAATCCTGGGTATCCCACAGATTCCTGGGTATTCACATTATATACGAGGAAAAAAAAACTGGTTTATTGAAACATTTTAAGAGTTACTTTTTAGTGTATGCCAGAAGATAGCAAAAACATAAAAAGATCGTTAAGATTAGAAAGTATATATGCCTAGATTCATTAAAATACTTCTTAACTTTTTACTTTCAGTCTTTTCCCTCTTACGTCTATCTGTTCTCAATAGAATGTTACCAACAGCCAGGTGTTGTACTGAAGGATTGAACTGTGCATTCGGACAATCTATAATAGCACAAAATTTCCTTTATATTTTGTATAATTGTGTTCCTAATTTCTATTTGCTCCCCAACTGCTTTCAGTTATGTCTGCACCGCCAACTTTGCCCCCTGAAATATATTTGTTGTATGCCTCTTTTATATTTGTGCAGTTCCCCCAAGATGTACACTGTGACGGTAGTCACCATCAGCTGGATCTTCAGACAGACTATTTATGTAGGTTGCTGAACTTTTCTTATGTTTTAGTCACCCTGTACCCATTATATGTGCAGGGTGTGTGTGTAATTGTTTATAATGCGTGTGTGTGCATATTGTTAAATGTTTTGCCTTCTCTCCTGTACTGCTGAGGATTGCTACCAACTAGGTGGATTTGACTATGGAGCCTGAGTAGTGCCCTCTGTTGGTAGCAACAGCAATATGCACTACTTATATAGTAAGGCAGGTTCATTTGCATATTCAGACAGATTTGCATATTGCTATTTCTGCAGGCAGGAGAGATGTTTTATGTTAATTATTATCTTTCCCACCCTTTTATAAATATGTCGTTATGTTATTATAAGTTCCTGTATGTTGTCTAATGTGATTTGACTGTTTGTATTTTTATTGAGTTGTCACAGCAATCTTGATGTAATAATCATATGGGCTAGTCAGAAGAAAATTTAAGTTTTGTAGGTAAGTTCCTTTTTGAATGTGCATGGATCTCAGTTACAGAGTCTTTAGCCTGGTTTGCAGGATGCCTCTAACCCTGGGATAATGCAAGGGAGCTAGGCCGGAGAGCAGCAAGTGTCTTATTAAAGACAAGAGTTATAACATTGCCAGCAGATGTGGATACCTGCCTGGAAGGAGGGCTGCAGCGGAAGAGGCAGAGAGGACAATACCTGTCTGGAAGAAAAGCTGCAGCCTGGTTTGGTGGAAAAGCTCCAGAAGGACCCCAGTGAAGCTGCAGCGACTGGGGCTGAAGTGTTCCAGGGTCCCTGCAAGTGGCTAGGAAGCTTAATGGGTGGAGGTACTCAGTCTGGGTACAGGAGCTTCATCACCTACACCACCTCCCTGCTTGGGTTTGGTAGTTGGTTTTAGAAGTAGATGGGAGCAGTTGATAAGCACCTTCCTGTATAAATGATAACATGTTCCTGCAAGGAAGATCCTGATCATTGTCTACCCTGGTGCCTCCAAGACCAGTGTACAAAACAAACAGTCCTGGATTTCTAAATGTATTAATTGCCAATATGGCACATTTTTTTGTGATTTCTCCCCCCCCCCCACCTTCTTTTTCTCTCCCTTTCTTAGTAAATCGGTAGCACACTACCCTATTTTCTTGCCCGCACAGCTGTTCCATTGTAACTACTATTATTTGAAACTCGAACATAGTTTCTTCTTGTCTAACTGTTCTACAACTCTCACCAGCTTAAATACTTTGTTATTGTTATGTTTGCAAGGATTGTTGTAGATATCCATGCATATAAAAGCTTTTACATACATCAAATGTTCACATTTTTAACAATTATGTGCTAATTCTGTCCATCTGGCTTTTCTCTTATACCTTTAACAAAATTGTTACACATAAAAAATATATATCAAAATAAATATTTAATATGTAAATTTAATTAAAATAAGATTTCAAAAAATAATAGCAAAATAAAAATAACTTTAAATGTAATAGGGAACCGGAGTGCACTCATTTTTAGCCCTAACCTTTTTCCCATTCACCCCTGTGGTGTGCTTTCTAACATACTTTGGGTGCCAGGGTATTTCATATAACTGAAATACACATTATAAGAGCATATTGAAATGATGAAGAAAAGGGGTATATGCAACTACCAAATTTCAACTAATTTTAAAAAGGTCTTCAATCCCAATAACTGTATGAATAAGTATGTTGAGGGTAATGAAAGGGGCACTATAACTATTCTCATTGAACCTGGCATTGAACGTTAATCCATTTTTGAGCAGTTCAACATTGAATGAGGATTCCTTTTTAGCAATGAGTGCTGTGATAGGCTGAAAGCAGTCAGCTGACACTCTCAGCCAGTCAGAAAAAGTGAGTCATTGGAAACTAAGATCTGGCACTGTACTGAGCAACAGATGGCTCAGAATCGCGTGAGTGTACACTGCTAGCAGGATTATTTACCAAGTGAGAATTCGGAGTGAATTCAAAATTACTTCAAATTTAAGGCCAAAATAGCCAAATTTAAAAAAAAAATGTCAGGTATGCTTTCAGTTTGACTTCTTTAGCGTAAAATGTTGAATTCACTTCAATTTTCACTTTAGCGAATACTCTCTGTATCTCTCTGTATGTTGTTGGATATAAACTTATATTCTTGCAATTTAAGGTATAGGTATAAACTAGATATCATACATATGTGTGAATATAATTTCATATACTTGCAAAATGATGTGGGCTATAACTGCCATCATTCCCACTACAGAGATGAATATTTGGGTTTAGTTTTAAACACGTCCACGATGTTTGCAGCTATACTGCAATAAGATGCTGAGATCATATAAAATGAGCTTAAAGCACAGAGAACACTTCTGTATTCTGCACTCGAATGACATACCCTTTAATGACTGATGTTCTGTTGATGCAGAGCTCTAATGAATACAGCACAACTACAGAGTATTTATTTATGCTGTAATAAGCAACGAGATTGCGGTTTCAATAATAAATTATATTCTTTATTCATTATGCTTATTTTTTATTGAATTAAGTTATCCATATTGTTTGGCTCTTACTCCATTTTTCAATTTGGTGCTTGCCCCACTTGTGGGTTTAATTTATTTATTTAGCTCTAGGGGGAAACCAAAGGACAATGTTTTGTCTACACAATAAATCAGTATAGGTGTAAATGTACACATTCACAATAATTCATCACAAAAAAACAAAAACCTAAGACATAGTACATCCAACAAAACAAGTAGGAACAACAGTGTGAATCCACCAGTAACAAAATACATAGTACACATAAGGCTTTAATATTTCTCAGCTATGTGCTTCCGTTATTTATATCTGCTTTAACTCGTGTACAGGACTGGACTGTTCCGTCCTTAATAGTCTGGCATTAAGGCAATGAGATTTGCAAGGCAGTCTGTCTGTAATAGGAAAGACAAACTTGCAGGCAAAGCACAGAAGAGGCAGTGACTAGAACATACACCCATGTAATGCAATCTCCCCAACGCTGCATGGCTCATCAGAGCTCTGATTAAAAGATCCAATGTCGCTGTTTATTTCAGGAAGGGGAGGAGGACAGACAGCCCTTAATGCTGACCTCTAGTTCTTTATCTTGGCGATGTATTGCGCCTTTTTAATGCAATACAGCTATTACTCATTTAATGCAGAGTGTAAAGTGAAGGAATGATACATTTGTACCTCCCCTTCTAGAACGATGTCTGTATCCCTGGGCGGTGATATATGTTTCCTAAACTCAGATAAAGAATTCAGGATGATGTTTATGATTTTTTTCCCACACTGGATTGCTTAGAGTTTTTAGGTGCTGCTGGTGAATTCTATGCTATACATGGTTTACAGACAAAGGACATACCCCTAACACAAAACAATGCAAAAAGGGATGATAGGTCAGAACTAGCTCTATATAATCCTTGGCATGTATAAATTGTCATGGTAGACTCCATGTAGTCGGGAGACTATTCCTAATCTTATAAACTGTAGGATATATGCATTCATTTTGTCTTAATGTGCTGCTTGTGATAGGCAATAACTGACATTATATGGAGCAGATTTATGAAAGTGTTCTGTTCTAAAAAAAATGGGCATCTCACCATGGAAACCAGAGACACCCGTTTCCATGTTTGCACCACTTTGATGTTCACATAGCCCAAAAACCAAACACTAGAACACAGGATGGAAGTAAAATGATATAAGGTTTTCCTCTAATTAAAATAAAAAATTTTGTAAAAATGTTTTTACAATTAATGACACAAAAAAAATACAAAAACAAACACACATTGTCTATTCACAATTAGCTTTGGCCCCGTCTAGACTACAATATAATTTGTGGTTATAGTGATACAAGTTCCATACAAGATCAAAGGCATGTTTCTGATGCCGAGTGTACAGTGGACCCTACTGTGCATTGTACACCAATACCAGTAATAATTAGTTATTTTGAACCATTGTGTATATATGGCAGGGTCAACTAGACCATGATGTAAACAAATTAGTACCCTGTAGTTATATTGTAAATACATCCCACTGCTGCCAGGTGCACATAGTATACAGAGATGGATAGTGTGAAAAAAATCTAAAGAAGTCATTGCAGCTGTTAGGCAGACAGAGCACTCTAGTACGGTTAATCTCCCGGTAAACCTGAACTTTATGTATGCCATGCTGCTAAACTGCATGCAGATTAATTTTCCATCACTACAAGGTGAAACAGGTATGAAAAGGTAACTGAAAACACACACACGCACGCACGCACGCACGCTCACTCGCTCTCTCCCTCTCCATCTTCCTCTCTCCCCCCCTCTCTCTCTCCCTCCCCTCACCCCCCATAATAAACAAAATATGCTGCTAATGGCTTTTACAACAGCAGCAAATCTAAGAGTGTATTTCCTATATGACAAATGGGTCAGAAGAGGTGCCCCATCCTGCTACAGGGGCATTTAGGAACGTGTAATAAAACAGAAGTAATCCCTGGCCTGCAAACACAGAATATGGTAGGATAGAGCACAAACAAATTCTGGGAAACCATCACAAGCAACTAGCTGGAATGGCCAATGAATAAAATACTGAGCGAAGGCAAGCTGCAGTGGTGACAGGAGAAAGCAGCGTTGGAAATAGACAGGTCCTCTCATGATATAACTAGGGTGAACCGCTGGGAGGGAGAATGAATTAGGATGAGAGAAAATTGAGAAAGGAGGGGCGCATAACCAATAGAGATAGATAAAAGGTAAAATTTTCTGAAATTACTGTCTTCAGCACATGTCTAATTCAAGAAAAGGGAGAAAAAATAACCATAGAAAATAAAAACAATAGCGGAAATAAAGCAGCCCTCCACAATACAATGACAGCACTGAAAAGTCGAATTGGTTATAAGTCAGTGGACTAGAGGCCCATTAAAAGAAATCTTTTTATTTAATTAAAGGGATGCAGTTTCAATCATTTCCATCCATACACCGCTCAATATCAAGCCTTGTGAGGCCGACATTATGTATTCCTGTCAGCCGCTCCGCACAATGAATTATACTGTATCCAACATGCAGAGAATGATACAAAAAGTGCAGCATTGTTACTGGGCCTCCGTGCAGATCAGAAAGAACTTCAGGGATTACATGGAAAGATAGAAGGTGCACCAGAAGAACAATGACATTTACCATTGATTGCAAGTTTCAAAAATAAGAATGGGGTTTTTTTTCTAATTCATTTCAGCTTATCTAAAATTAGTAGCCAAGAAGCTGTTTAACCCCTTAAGGACATATTACATGTGTGAAATGTCATGATTAGTCTGCTTGAGATCCCGAGGTTTCCTTTTTCCTGACAGCGTCTACTGCATGATTAGAAGATGTTTAAAGGGTTATTTTTACTAAAGTGAGAATTCAAACTGAATTTAACATTTAAGGTCAAGAAAGCCAAACTGGATACATTTTCAAAATTAGCTATGCTTTCATTTCGGCTACTCTGGCCTTAAATTTGAAATTCCCTTTGAATTCTCAATGCAGTGTAAATAACCCCGATAGTTATCAATTGTAGCTCTGAAAGCACACTTGCTTATGTTGTTTTAATCATTCACTATAAAAAAGGGTTAAAATGCAAGCTTCTCCTTTGGTTACCTCAGTGACATCTATGTCTTGTACATTAAATGTTGCTGATGTCACTTTGCTAAGAGCCTGCACATCTTCAGTCATTAATACATGAGTCATTCTGTTCCCTGTCCCTGCTCATTATATTAAAACTGGGGTCTTAGAATTCAGCATGTACAGCAAGCAGGGTATATTTTTAATACCCTGTAATTTAATAGACATCGATCTGTCCTATGTAAAGTCTATGAGAAGCAAATGATTTTACTTGACACAATATGAGATTGCTCCTATAATGGGTAAAGAGAACGTAGTAATTTATGACAAACAATTTAGGCATGCAAGAAAAGGAAGCAATGAATCCTGCGCTCAAACAATCGGCTGGTTAGAACTGTGGTATTGTCACTACCTTAGAACTGGGAAACTCAGATTTAAATCCTCAGTCAGACCTCACCAGTAAGGGTCCTTGGAGAAGACACCTAATGATATATATCTGCCTGCCTCATAGCTTGCAAACTTGTTTGAGCATGGCCTTCATATATCCCCTTTCTATAATTGTAAAGCACTGTGGAAGATGTTGGTCATTTATAAATGCTAATAATAATAAATGACATAAAAGTCCAGTGTACACAGAAATGTAGGTGTTTGGTCCGCATGTTGCATATTAGTTTTGTATGTAGCTCATTCATGCTTTTTCATGAATGAAGTCATTTGCTGTGCATTAGATGTATGTGCTTGTACTCTCAATGCTGAAGATCACATCTCTCACAAATGTACTATTGCTTCAAAAATGGATATGCTGTAGAATAGAAGGGATGGCGATGATGGGCATATGGAGAAAAACAATGTACTCATTATGATAAAAGTTAAGGAAATAAGTGTTTTAACTGAAAGCACAAAAAAGTGCACAGGTCTCTCCTTAAGGCGCATGAGTGCAGAACGCGATATACAGTGAAGATAGTGGTGAACAGATTTTATTTTTCAGGTATCAGAAAGTGGTAAATAGAAGTGAAGGAGCATATGATTTGTTAAAGAAGAGAAATGTATCAAAGATGACACTACATTAGGATGAGAGCTTAAGGTGAGTTAGTGAGAGGAGGGAAAGGAACAGTAGGGGATAGAAAGGAAAGGTAATTGACATGGTGCAGTGAAAAGAAGCACTTGAGTTTTGGATGCTTTCATTTGTAGGAAATGTGATGGTACGGGGCTGGAGAGGTCAGTGTGAAGGAAGGAAAATAGAAGGCAATCTGGATGCCATCTGTAGAATGAAATAAATGGATATGAAAGCTGTAAGAGGAGAGTTCTTTATATTGTGAATTTTATTACCCAGAGCCTCACTCTCTCACTAATCCTAACCCCATAGCCCTAAGACTCACTCTAATTCTCCTGACTCCTCCAAGAAGGAGACCCTCTGCCAATTCATAAAAATTGTCTATAACCCAAGGAAACATGTCATTTCAACCATTTAACCCTTTCCCTTTTTTCTATACTATGTATTTCTCTAGAGAATTCATTCCATGTTATATGGTGGTGCTAGATTGCACGGAAAAAAAAGCATTGTCTCCAAGATATTAATTAACCTCCATGTGTGTTCCTTAAAATACAGTATGATTATAAATACTCAGTTCCACAGAGCGATTTCCTGCAGGCCGCACTGGGAAAGCCAATGACTCTGTACTGTACTGCAGGAATACACTGAGCCCCAGATAATTTGATCATCCACGAGACTCAGTGGGATTTTGAAGAGGAAATTTTATGAAAAAAAATATTGTGCTGTGCTGTCACTCTCTCTCCCTGCGTATCATTTTTGTGACTTGCCTGAGTTGTAAACCCGTATGACACTATCACAAAGATCCACTTTCTGGACTGTATATAAACTGTCAGCCTTTTCTTAATGAAAGACAGTTTGTTTAACGCTATAGCAGCCTTGATTCTATTAACTGGAGAATTTTCTAATATTTTGGCATATATGAGGCCACTATCAGAATCTACTAAATCACTCCCTCCGCTGCTATTGGCTTAATCTCTGCCGCTGTTGTGTGACCAAGAGGTGAATTTTTTGGCAACCATCTGTTAGGGGATGGAGCACACAAGCTTATCACAGTCCCATACCTCCCAAGTAACCCTATTTAAGAGGGACAGTCCCTTTTTGAGCCCAAATCTCTTGGCTCTTCTTTAAATAGAATGTTCATCTTTTCTAGGAGCTTTATAGTATTTGCTGTTTCCGGGTGTTGGCATTGGAATACAGAAATATGTTTGTATGTATTATTGGTGGTTGAATATTGAAATGTGTTTATATGTATAGCTGGTATTTGAATGCAGGTGTGCATTTGTATAGACTTGTGCAACCTTATGGTAGTCTGGGGTTGGTACAAGCTCTTTCCTTCCTCCCTCTGCCTTCTCCTCATTTCCATTCCTGTGTGTGGACCCCTGAACGGAGTTGCCAATCTGTTGGCCTAAGTGTGAAGACCAACCACAAGCTAGTGGGCCCCAAAGCGGTATAAAAGCTGCACCAGTGGTAGATCCACCACTGGTCATGAGGATAGACGTACACATAGAAACATAGAAAAATAGACGGCAGATAAGAACCATTCGGCCCATCTAGCCTGCCCATCAGGCAGATCCTTCACGAACCGTGCCCAATAAACTCAAAAGGTAAATTCTAACCTTAAATTTGTAGACATAGTTAATAGGGATAGACAATTTTCGGTTCCGTCAATTATCAGAGCTGATTTTCAGCATTTTACCGATAATCTGTATTGGCCTTGTAATTTACTGATGTTAAAGATAATTTACTCAGTTACTTTATGCTATCTTCTGTATCTGAAAACTCTAGCTGCCACCCAATGAAGCACCACGTCGTGACCTCATGTCACCCCTTTCTGGAGGCAGGGACCTGAGACAGTGAATACTCTACTATAATGTATTGGGCTGGCTGACTGAGAGTAATAGGAGTGTGATTGCTGTTAGCAATCAACTCCTGTCAGTAACAGCACTGTACATGATGGGATCTCACTGATCACAGCATGTACCGGCTGCCTGAGAGTGATAAGAGTGTTATTGCTGTCAGCATGTTCAGTTAATGCCAAATTTGTGTATAAATTGTGTTTCTTTTTCAAAACTTTAAATATACAGAAAATTGTACTAGTTATTGGCAATCGACCCGAAAGGTGACCGATAATTGGTATCGGCTTTGGCTCTGGATAAATTATATCAGCAGATCCCTAATAGTTAATGCAAGGCACTCTCATAATATGGAATACACTGCACATATTCAAAAAAGCATAAATCACTATACCCCCAAACATGTCAAGAAAAAAAAAAAATAGGCTTTAAAACAAAATGCACTTTAAAGGGAACTGTTAACTGCCAATTTTATGGAAATTACACTAGTGAATAAATACATGAGAAACAGCTATAACTTTTACACCTTTTTACATATCATGCTCTGTTTTCTTTTAAATTTATATTAAAGATTTAACAAATGATATCACAAGTAAGATCAGTCAATAGTGATGTCCCTAACTGTTCGCCGAACAGTTCGCGAACGGTTCGCCACGGACTCATCTTTGAGTAAACTGTGACCCTGTACCGCACAGTCAGCAGACACATTCCAGCCAATCAGCAGCAGACCCTCCCTCCCAGACCCTCCCACCTCCTGGACAGCTCACTAAGAATGCAGCTTCACAATGGATGCTGTCCAGGAGGTGAGAGGGTCTGGGAGGGAGGGTCTGCTGCTGATTGGCTGGAATGTGTCTGCTGACTGTAAGGTACAGGGTCAAAGTTTACTCAATGATGAGTCCGCGGCGAACCGTTCGCGAACCGTTCGGCGAACAGTTCGGGACATCACTATCAGTCAAGGTAAAGTCAGACAAGCATTTTGAACATTACAAATATTCATTTGCTTAATATAGCTATAAGAAATCATAATATTTATAATCCTGGGAAGTTATAGTTAGCAGTAAACTGATATCAATATAAACTTAAATCAATGCACTGGGTTCAGATGCGCAGTTTTAACACATTTCTAATCTCAAATTTTCAAAAGGAACTTCCTATTATATGAAGAAGAATTGTATGCATACTTACCACACAGAATGTCATGAAAGGGATTTTCTGTAGATGCACCTCTATCCAGTATGTCATTAACCCTTTAACGACCAGACTGTTTTGGCCATGTTGTACGTTAAGGACCAGGGCTGTTTTAACACTTTTGTGGTGTTTGTGTTTAGATGTAATTTTCCTCTCTCTCATTTAATGTTCCCATATAAATTATATATTGTTTTTTTTTTCAGGACTAGAAGGGCTTTCTTTACATACCACTATTTGTATCATGTCATATAATTTATGTTTAAAAAATAATAAAATATGGTGAAAATGTGAAAAAAATTAACATAAAAAAATCCTTTACTTATCTAAAAAAACTGCTAAATAGATTAAAAATTTTGTCCTGAGTTTAAAAACATCCAGTGTTTACATATTTTTTTTGTGCAAATTACAGGGCTATAAGTACAAGTAGGACATTGTTGTTTCAAAATATATTTTTCTAAAATGTATCAATAGTGACATTGTAACACTGTTATCTGTCATACATCTCTGAATCACACCTCACATGTACATATTTTTTTAAAGTAGACAACCCAGGGTATTCAATTTAGGGGTATGTCCAGTATTTTTAGTAGCCACTTAGTCAAAAACACTGGCCAAAGTTAGCATTTATATTTGTTTGTGTGTTAAAAATGCAAAAAACACTTAACTAGGGCTAACCCCAGACCCCACACCACACTAGCTCTTATCATATAGCCCGGTCACTAACTCCCCAAAGAGGCAATCAATCTAGGAGTAACTCTAGACACCTCCAGAAGCTATATCTCCTCTGCTAGAAGACTGCATCACAGTCACCAAGTGACCTCATGCAACTCTATCCCCGTAGATAACCTGCAGAACAGACTATGGGCCTTTAATGAAAGCTTTACCACGACTCTTCAAGCCCAATGAGTTACTCACACAACCCACACACAAACACCACCGCCCGCATCACAATCAACCCCGCATGCAACCATGAGCTCAGAGCCTGACAACCACCTCTAACAAGCAAAGCCGCTACATCTTAATTAGCAAAGTGGAGTTATCCCAAGTGTAACCAAATCTCTATAACTGAACAGGCCAATAAGTTTTAAAAAAAGATAAAAATGTGCAAGATAATTGTCTGTCATGCCTGAATACTGTTATTCTGTTACGTGTTATGTCCATGCCTGATTACACTATCGTGGCAAAGTACCTGTGCCTGTCATTTGCCAACTTGAACCAAAAAGAATTATTTAAAAAAAATAATGCAAAAAACAATTATAAATGCTAACTTTGGCCAGTGTTTGTGACTAAGTGGCTACTAAAAAAGACTGGGCATACCTTATTTGCAATACTTTGGGTTGTCTTCTTTTGCAAATGGTATGCTATCATTGGGGTAATTCTCATTCCTGGGCTACCATACGCTCTCAAAGGCAACATAACCAACCTGGCAAATTGAAAAAAACGGAAAATCAAGCCTTATATAACCCAAATATTAGTGTTTCAAAACAGTAAAACATATCACAACAATGATATTATCAGTGAAAGTGCTGTGTGTGTGTGAAAAATGCAAAACAATTTCACTGACAATATCATCGCTGTCATATGTTTTACTGTTTTGAATATTTGTGTTTAGCGAAGTGTCTCGAGTAAAACGGTACCCCCCATGTACAGGTTTTAAGGTGTCATGGACAGTTACAGGGTTAAATACAGCGCTAGCAAATTAAATTCTCTGGACTTTCGGCCTGGGTTGTCAGGCAGGTCTCTCAAATGGCAATCAATAAAATTACTTAATTATGTAAAAATATTACATAAATATGCATGTATAATTAAAATATATATACATATTTATATATTTGACGTCTACGTCTATATTTATGAAAATATTTATGTATATGGACATAAATATATATTCCGTGTTATTTTAATTTATTTATATATACATAGATATATGTATATATAATTTCATTCCTGAACCGTCATTGGTCCTTAATGGGTTAAACAAAGTGTTTTACAGCTTATTTCTTGTGTTGTTTCTAAATATTAGTTATAAGCTGTTGTTATAACTAACAGCAGGTATATTCGTGACCACAACATTAACAGGTTTGCAAGGTTCTTCCCTACCATTAACTTCTCCACGATACTTGAGTCTGCCTTTGTTGATACCGAACAGCACTTAGCATTTACCATTTTGAAAACTTGAAAAAAAGGTGTATCCCCAAGTTAATTGGCATTGCAACTTCACAACGATATAGTAACATTTCTATTCAGCCCTTCCATCGCTGCAGCTGAGAGCACTGTGGCAATCAAAAGTACTTTAACAATTCTAAAGTAAAACAAGGTTTTTGATACCAGCTCACTCTAATACTAAATCAATAAATAACAGAAACATTTTGGATTTCCTGGGACCCCAGTAATAGCATAGAGAGACCCAATGCATGGCCTCTAGTTCTCTTTCACTACATGGCCTGTGAGCGAAGGGTAAAGAAGAGTCTGGGGATGAGGAAATGGCAAGTCTTCTGGCACTTATGGGTTAACTCTGTAAAGAGCTCAACTGATTTAAATAAAAAAATACACGTGTGAAATAAATTATTTACTTGCCTGTCTTTGTCTTGATTTAACATCTGTTACATTAGCCTGGTCACTGTACAGACTAGTACACATACCCAGTCTCATCCTAGGTGTGTGTTAGGGTCAGGTCAATCTTCTTTCTTCAACTACAAAAATGACCCCAAAAAAATATTATATTGTGTGGCTTTTATATTAAAATAAAAAACCTGACCACATTGAAATTAAATAGGTCACCCGGTTAGTGGTCAGTACACCGTCACGGTTCATATCCTGGTCCTCATTCCATTCATTACTCTCCACTATACAGTCCATGGGCCGAAGGAACGGTACCTAGCCAGTATAACCAGTGTGTCCTGGGGGAATCCATGTTTAATTTTTAATAGTATTTGTTGAGACAAAAAGCAGATCAGTTTCAAGTGAGGGAGCCAGTCTATCTTTCTAATTATAATATTTATGGACAGCTTTCATGTGTTAACGTGACTTTGTCTCTTTACCCATAGGTAAGGCATGTTTTAAATTCGGTTAGATGGCAGCAGTTGGTAAAATGTAGCATATAAAACTGTTGGTAAGTAGCATTAATCATCATCCATTTTTGAGAGATATTAAAAACTATAATATACATGTTTGCTCAAGAAAGCTGTAAAGATTTGAAGATTTACCTCGTGCCCACAGTGCTCTCTTTCCCGGTGATTGTATTATGGATGGAGTCTGGAACTTGGCACCAGGGGACTGACACAAGGAAGATATATATATTTATTTATGTTTATTTAAAACGATCACCACCTGTAGGCCAAACAAATAACATGAACAATCTACAATAAGCACTACTGCAAAGCATTACACATTCTAAGCACTGACCCAGCCTTGGTAAACTAAATATTGAGTTATTTTAAACAATATGAATATCCCTGTCAGCAGCTGACCTTTGTAAACCCTATAAGCAAAACATTAATGAACCATGATCAGAAAATGTTTTGCTGTCCCGAATAATGTTTACTGTTTAAGCAGCAGAATTACCTCCATCAATTTGATTCATCTCATAAATCTGTCATCTGTGAAATCTAGTACCTCCCTATAGACATTATCAGGCCCTATACAGGATACGAAACATGGCCCGTTTTGTTTTTTTGGGTGTTTCATACTTAAACGTATATGATGTAATTTTATTCAGTATTATCTGGAAATGTAATATACATAAATGCAATGAATATACAAAATAATATTTTATTTACACTCTGGATCCCAGGTAGCTGGGAATTTTCCATTTGAAACATATTCAGTGTAAATATATTGATGCAACAAGATAGACATAGAGTGACAAATGTTATCTTTACTATAAAGGGAAAAAAAACACAAAACAAAAATTTTCAGTATTTAGCAATTCTAAAATGTGACTCCACATTGTCTTTAAAGGACCACTATAGTGCCAGGAAAACACACTAGTTTTCCTGCCCCCACCCTCAGGGTCCCCTTCCCGCCGGGCTCAAAGGGGAGGAAGGGGTTAATCTTACCTCTTTCTCCAGCGCCGGGCGGGGGACTCTCCTCCTTCTCTCCTCCTCCATAGCGACGTCATCGGCTGAATGCGCATGCGCGGCAAGAGCCGCACGCGCATTCAGCCAGTCCATAGGAAAGCATTCTCAATGCTTTCCTATGGACGGCAGCGTCTTCTCACTGTGAAAATCACAGTGAGAAGCGCCTGTCAATGAGACAGCCACTAGAGGCTGGATTAACCCATATATAAACATAGCAGTTTCTCTGAAACTGCTATGTTTATAGAAAAAAGGGTTAACCCTAGCTAGACCTGGCACCCAGACCACTTCATTAAGCTGAAGTGGTCTGGGTGCCTAAAGTGGTCCTTTAATTGCTCATAAAATCCTTGTAAGAATGCAACCCTCATAACCAGGGCCAGATTAAGAGCCCAGTGGACCTGGTGCTGACAATTATGATGGGGCCTAATTACAGAATCTTATCGACCAAAAACACTAAAACAGTCATACCTCTCAAGCGTCATATATCTGATGGAGATGGTATGGGAGGGAAACTCAAAGGATGCAGCTATAAGAAAGCACATACTCTATGCTAATCTCTCTCTAATTTATGCTTTCATCTTTCAAGTAAATCCATACCCCCTAACAGCAGTGTACAGTAAAGCAGAAAGTCAATGGGCGGGGTAAAAGGGTGGGCCACTGATGCGAATCACGTGACCAGAACAGCCAAAAGGGGCAAACATGCCCAAAAAGGGGGCATATCTGTCCAAATAATTGGAAGGCCAGCTTGGCATCAGTGTCCCTATGTATCACAGTGTCAGTGTCCCCATGTCGCCCAGTCCCCTAGTCTCCCAGTGTCTCAGTGTCCCCATTTTCCCCAGTGACCCAATGTCTCAGTGTGTCCTGTGTCACTAGGATACTAGGGGACACAGTAAGACATGGGAACACTGAGCGATCCAGTGACACTGAGACACTTGGGGACACTGGGAGACATGGGGGCACTTGTGGATCCAGACATGGAGACACTGGGAGAAAGGGGGACACAGAGACAAACAGACACAGACACTGGGAGACATGGGGACACTGATACATTTGGCGACACTAAGACACTTGGGGTCACTGAGAGACATGGAACACAGACACTGGGAGACTAGGGGACACTGGGAGACACGGGGACACTGAGACACTAGGAACACTGGCTGGGAGGCATGGGGACAAAGACACTTGGGACACTGGGATACATGGGGGCACTTGTGGAAATAGACATGGGGACACTGGGAGACATGGGGACACTGGGTACACTGAGAGACATGGGAACACAGACACTGGGAGACATGGGGACACTGAGACACTGGCTGGGAGACATAGAGACACTGGGACACTGAGAAACTAAGAGGCATGGGGACACAGACACTGGGAGACTAGGGAACACTGAGACACTAGGGACACTGGCTGGGAGACACTGGGAGACATGGAAACACTGTGTCCCTAGTGTCTCCGTGTCACAATGTGTCTCCCAATGTCCCTATGTCTCACAGTGTCCCCATGTGTCTCAGCATCATCATGTCTAGTGTCTCAGTGTCCCCATGTTTCCCAGTGTCCTCATGTGTCCCCATGTCTCCCTGCTGCCTTTCCACCCATTCTTCACTTACCTGAGCTGTAGGCTGTCTCTGCAGGCTGGGAGCTGCTGTCTGGACTCTCTGTGCTGTGTAGCTGCTCCCCTGTGGATCAGTGAATAGAGAGAGGCAGGGAGGGATATGCTGTAACTTCCTATCCCTGTATCTCTCCACACACAGTGACCCCTACTGACTGGTGCTGGTATTGCAGAGTAATCTCCGTTTATACTGAGAAAAATATCTGCATTTGTATTGCCAGTATTACTGCAATACCGGCACGGCCAGCAAGCCTCAAATAAATACATAAAATACCAGTCAGGTTGCAAACCTAAGCGTAGTGAGTAAAAAAAAAAGAAAAGTAAAAAAAAAAAGTTTTTTTTTTTTAAATGGGCCTTTTTCATGGGCCTGGGCCTGGGCCTGGAGCTGCAGCTCCATCAGCCCCTATGTTAATCCGGCCCTGCTCATAACCCCTTCAATACTCAAATTGAGTATAAACATTTTTATTTTCATGTATTTTGCATTATGAAATCTAGTCCACAAAGCCTCACCCTCATTTATACTCTAGTTATGATTACCAGCCTGTAGACAAACATATTTCTCTGCTAGAATCCACTAGTCTATGATATAATTCCAATAAATTTGCTGAAAATGTAAGCGGAATATTTGCTTTCACAATGTGCAGAAAGTTTCAATGGGTAATATTGCTCCAACATTCATACAGGGAGATGGGTGAATGCAGCCTACCATTTCACTGTCAGCATTGCAGGCATAATCCAGAGATTGATAAATATTGCTATAGCAGTTACAAATACCTTTTAAAAAAATAAAATTATTTAACTGTACTTACAGTATGCAGGCGTTATGCTCAAATGCAGACATTCTTTTTACATTACATTAGAACAGCAAAAATAGATGTGAGAAAGGCTGCGCTTGATGGGCGCATGTCTCCTTTTCAGCTATGTAACTAAGTAACATTCTGTTGCATTTTCCTAGTAAGCTGTACTGCTCGTAATGCCTCAAGGGTCCTTGCAAATAACTCTTTAAAGCGGCACTGTCATGGCCAAATCCTGTTATTTTTTAACCCTTCTCCCGACTCCACTACATCTAATTGACCCCCTCGTCACCCCCAAATGCCCCTAAGCCCCCCATCTTACCTAGTTCTTAAACTTTATTTTGTACCCGGACCTAGGTTCTGCGCGCTGCCATCTTTGTGTGGGTAGATGATGTCCCTGTGGGAAACGTCATCTGCCCACACTAGATAGCGCTGTGAAATTCCCACACATGCCCAGTTAAACACTTTGGCACATGACAGTGCCGCTTTAACTATATTAAATAACGATTGGAGCATGGAGGACAAGTGAAGTGATCCCTCCACTTCATTCTGGACACCACATCATAAGACTTTGGTACATGGGCCTGGCAGGGAAACTTTGGACCTTCTCATCTCCCCAGGTAAAAAAAAAAATATATATCATTGTTAATGTGTTCACTTTTTTTTACTGAGTGTCAGGAAGCACAGAGTGCCACTGGGTAGGGGTGTTGCTGATTGGCTAGGCCAATCAATAGCCCCTCATTCATAAAAGAGTAACGGGGAACTAGCGTTTGGCTTAGAGCGTCAGCTGACCACTCTAGCCAGTCAGCAGCACCCATGCCTGACGTCAATCTGCACTTCCTGACACTCCATTTCAGAAGTGGAATACCTGGAGGAAACCTTTTGGGTTAAACCATTTGAGAGCAGTTTAACCCCTTAGAGGAAAGAGAGCGCCCAAGGGCCTCATGGCATCATAGCATTTTCATTTAGATGAAGTTGTTATGGTGACCAGAATTAATTTTTTTAAAGGAACACTATAGTGTCTGAAATATAAACATGTATTCCTGACACCAAAGTTGTGAAAACGTTATTTACGTATCCCCCCTCTCGCTCCATTGCTCTCCCTGCTTCGCCTCCTTGCCTAATGGGGGTTCCATTTTTTTTATTTCCAAAATCTGATCACCCTGGCTTTATGTGATAATGACTATGCCCCTCCTCTTCGTGACATTGTCAAAAGGAGGCCAAGCATGGATGTCATTACAATTATGTTCCCCCCCCCTGGAAAATTCCTACGGACGCCCATAAATATAAGGACTGTTTAGGTTTATTGGGTTTAGAATCAGAGAATCAGATTAATTTAACATTTGAGTACAGGGTGTGTTTTAGGATTATTGAGTTTGGGGATAGGGTTGGTCTAAACTCAGTAGTGAGTAGCACAAGGTGTTTTGATTTTTAAGAGGAGTTAAACGAGTGTTAGGAATAGTGTGGCTGTTTAGTTGACTGGCCCCACTCCAATAGCCCTGAAAAGGTGATTTTACTAACCTTTTTTCCCTCGCTACACCGGTCTTGCCACATCTGGCTCTGCCTCCATGGCTGAGATCATCAATCATCAATGCCTATGGGAAGTTCTGTAGATAAATAATTTGGGACGTTTTTCTAACAGCATTGAATCATTTGGAAAGCGTATTAAATCAAGGCATAACTCTGAGGATATTTGTAATTCATTTAGTCTGGGGCTATTTGTATTTCATTACATTTTTCCTATTGTATTAATATAGCACCAGTGTATGTCCTCCTATAA